TTTGCCACGTATAAGTGTTAATTAGAAAAGAATGGGATGGTGTGAGTGTTTGGCAAATGATTTCACTATTTATATAGGTGTTGGGAAGAAACAATCAATACAAATTTATTTGAATGATAATTATAATTACAATTTAAATAAATGATTGATGGAAAAAATAAGACAAGTTGTATTAATTCTTTGACCAACCCATTTAATATAACATTTTAAAATATAACATTTTATTAGAGTAATTATATTTGACATAATTATGGGATATTCAATATTTTTTTTTTATTTTCGTAATTAGATTTGAAGAGAAAATAGTGAATTATACCAGACACATTAATTTCGCATATTTTATTAGAATTGTTATATTTGCAAATAATATTAAACATTTAATATTTATTTTTTATTAAGAGTTATTAGAGAAAAAAATATGGGATATTGATTGTTTGACCAGCAACATTTATTTTTTGAATTTCTATTAAAGTTATGAGATTTGCAAAGAACATTGGATATTTAATATTTCATTTTTATTAGATTAATGAGATTAGCAAAATATATGGGGTATATGGGGTATTGATTGTATTATTTTAGTTAGAGTTATTAAATGAGATAAATATGGAATTACAATTTTCATATTCCCGCCTAATTCAAATGGAATTGGAGTTTATATATAGAGCTTTTTAAAATTTTAAAAATCCCGCAACTTTTTGTTTTTGCTTTCAGATTTCCGTCTCCTAATATGTAATTATAATAGTAATTACTTATAAATTACTTGTTTTGGTTGATCTTTATTTTCTTATTTTTGCAGGAATTGGCAGATGGAGCATTTGAGTTTTTTTTTTTTAATTTATTTTTTTAGTTTTTGTAAATTGTAATATTTTTATTTTTTTATTTTTTATTACTTTTCATTTATTTCCTTTAATCTAATCATTGCCGTTTGAAAAATGATTACTTGATAATTGTGGAGACAATTGGTACGTTTAAAAAAATTAGGTAACAACATTAACTTGTTATTTCAGAATTAATTAGTTGTCATTTTTAAAAAAGTAACTCCTTGAATTTCAAAAATATGATCTGTAATTTCAGAAAAAATAAATAAATAAATAAACAGTTGTAACGGAAAAAGGCGGGAAACTGCCATGTAGGTATAATTTATTATGTTTTATTAAATGCACAACAACCAATAATTATATATATAGATATGCATATATACACATGATGAAATACTAATGGCATGATTGGTATGATATAATGACATGTGAATAGAATGATCATTCTCTTCCTTATTCCTTATCCTATGATTGACAGTATATTTTTTGGAAAGGAATGGTCATTCCAATGGGAATTGCAAAACACATCTCTATGGGATTAGTCATTCCATAGCAAATGCAAGTTTTTCTCATTCCTATATGTGTTGGATTCAATTTCTCAGAAAATAAAATTAACAAATAATATTAATAATATATATATATATATACATATATATATATATATATATAATATACTATAACTTATGAATAAATATTATATTAAATAAAATTATTCCAAAAAATAAGTTTCAAATAAAAAGTTTAAAAACTTATTTTTATTTATTGTTCATGTTTTAATTAGATATATTAAATACTTATACAAGAAGAACAATAATTTGTTAAAATCTCACTAAGTGGGGTCGGCTATATGGATCTCATGTCGCCGACTCGCCATCGTACTCGATTAAAACACACATCTACATTAAAATTTAACTATTTTTAAAATTATTTTTTATTATTTTCTTCCAAGTTGTCTTAGGTCTACCCTCCCACTTTTGATTTGCGTTCTTTATTCTAATGTTTCTATGTCTCTCATACGGACATGCCCAAACCATCTTATATAAAAATAAAACTAAAATTGCCTCTATAAATAATTTTAAAAGATATTATTTTATTTTTATAAATCATATATTAATTATTCCTAAATTGAATTATGATATAAAAAAAATATATTCAACTACATATACTTATAGGGGTTTATGTAATGCTATATTTGTATTAGCTAATATGTATATATACACAATTCACTAATTTTTATTTTTATTTTTTAAACAATTCACTAATTTAGTATATAATAAATATATATATATATATATATAATGTGAATGTAAAAATAAAAAAAAATATTAAAATATAGTATATTTTTTAAAAAAAATTAATTTTATTATTATCATAAAATAATAACATTATATCTATATCTATATCTATATCTATATAAAAAGGTTGTTGGAAAAATACATTAATAGAAATTTTGACCAAATAAATATAAAGTTTGACTTACTATTAATGGAAAGTTAAACAAAAAAACACATTTGAATTTTTAGTAAGAAAATATGAATCCTATTTTATAGGTAACAAATTTAGATTTTTTAGCCTTTTTTTTTTGTAACAATCTTATCTATTCAGATTTTTTGATTTTTATTTTAACTACTTTGATAATTATCTAAGTTTTAAAAAATCTTACATACATCTTTTCAAATCCTTATCTTTAGTAACCAAATTGATAATATTTTGTAAACAACGTCTTGATTAATGCGTGAGCTTTCAAAAATCTTACATACATCTTTTCAAATCATTATCTTTCGTAACCAAATTGATATTTTTTTTTGTAAAAATCGCCTTGATTAATGCTTTTGAAAATTTGATTTTTCAATTAATCCAAAAGCCTTACTTTATTGATGATAATAAAATCCATTATTTTTGGTAAAAATAAAGCCAAGTTGATGTGGTGAAATAATTTTCAATCTTATATGTCATCCTCACACATATTTTGAATCTGTTTTTTTTTTTT